GCGTTGGTAGGGGAGGATGCGGCGGAAGAGCTTGATTTGCACCACATTGGTGAGACCGGCGTTTTCCCCAGCATGTTGGTGATGCGCTTCTGCAGTGTCTGCACCTTCGTCTGGGACTCCTAGTCAAAGCCCTTAGCGGTCCACGAAGTGAGCCTCGTGGGGGGGGGGGTCCGGATCTGAACTTCGGAATTTCCGCCCAATTGGCGCGACGGGGCTCGGTGATGTAAAACCACTCCTGCTGCTAGACCTTGATGGTCTCGATGAAGGCCCCCTTGGGCCATGTGGCGTTGGGCAGCTTCCTTATCATGGCCCCGCCGCAGTCCGCTTGCTGTTCGTCGACCACCTTCGGCTTCACGTTGAAGATTTTGAGCCATAGGACGAAGTGTGGTGGGATGCGGAGTAGAGCCTCACACATGATGATGAACGCCGATATGTGGAGGAAAGAATTCGGGGCTAGATCATGGAAATCTAGCCCGTAGTAGAACATGAGGTCACGGACGAAAGGGTGGATTGGAAACCCTAGCCCTCTAAGAAAATGGGGGAGGAAGACAACCCTTTCTCCAGGCACCGGAGTGGGGATGATTTGGCCCTCGTCGGGGAGCATGTCCGCAGTATCTACGGCCAAGTACCCCGCGCTCTGGAGATTCTTCACGTCCTTCTCCGTGACGAAGGAGGCCTCCCACTTGCCCTTGGAGCCTGACCCGGCCATGACTGGAGGAGGTGGTGGTGGTGAGGAAGATGAGAACTTTTTTCGGGCGCTGGAGCTTGAGAGATTGGGAGGCAGAGGCTGGAGGAAGGCGTGGGGTAGAAAGGAGGAATATTTTGCCCTCTTATAGGAAGTAGAAATGCCAACCGTCCCCCCACTTATGCCTTAAAACTCTCCCATTCCCGATGAGAGCGTGCGCCGTGGTCGGTTGGGTTACCCAAATCCCATTGATGAGAATCCCGTAATAAGTGGGCATGATCTCTATTTCGACAAGACGGGCCAAGGGGGCTCGACCTAGAAACATGAAACGAGCAGTGTGAAAACGGTTCAAAAATACTTAAGAGCCAAGTCTGACGCTTCACCCAAAAAAGTTGTCAGTAAAGACAATATTCCTGATTTTTATATATTTTGCCTTCGCGGTTAAGGCTTGTGTTAATTATAAAAAGGCGGATATAGTTCTTTTGTGAAGGGAAAGCTGATATGTGGTATTCAAGGAGAGGAACCCGCCTTGCGATGTCGAAGACAATCTGCGTACCGAACACGTCATCATTGAAGACTAGTTCAGGGGCTACTAAGGGAGTCCTGGACTAAGGGGTCCTCGGGCGTCCGGTCTATTCAATATGGGCCGGACTGATGGGCTGTCGAGATAAAAGAAGAAGGCCGCCTCCCGTGTCCGGTTGGGACTCTTGTATGTGTGAACAACAAGATTAAGCGTCCGGATATACTGTTTCCTTTCTCTGTAAACCGACTCTGTACAACCCTATGCCCCTCCGGTGTCTATATAAACCGGAGGGCTTAGACCGGAGACTGGATGATAACATTCATAGACTAGACAATCTAGGGTTTAGCCATTACGATCTCGAGGTAGATCAACTCTTGTAACCCCTATACTCATCGAATACAATCAAGCAAGACGTAGGGTTTTACCTCCTTTAAGAGGGCCCGGACCTGGGTAAACATTGTGTCCCTTTGTCCATTGTTACCATCGATCCTTAGACACACAGCTTGGGGCCCCCCTACCCGAGATCTGCCAGTTTTGACACCGAAAACATGCAACTTACAGCGAAGCGCTGCTGGATCGATAATCTCGTATGTGTGCAATCCACAAGGAGATCGTGCTTTCGATCTTTGTTCAAGGGACTGTTCGAGGGAGAAAAATCTCATGGTTGGGTGGTTGTAAATCCTAGCTGCGGGGATCTGCATCAACTCACTTAACCAGCTCTCCTCTCTGATGCGTTAGTTGGTGACTGATCCAATCTATATCTAATCGATACTTGCATCTTCGTAATGATCATAAGAAATTGATTCATAGAGTGTTCTTTTTGTTTTCTACTACATTTACCAACAATGCAGTTAAATCAAGCAGGGTTATTTTGGACTTAGGCCCCGTTTGAAATAGAGGAACTCAAAATGTATGAGTAGATGTCACTCCTGCATTTTTCTATTCACACATTTTCAGTTGTCTCCTTGGAGGGCTTGCTCGCATCTATCGCGAGTCTTTTTCCTACTCTTAGCGAAGTGGAAGTGGGGCCACGACCCCAGGGTGCTCCATGAGTATCCTCAAAGATGACGGCCCGAGGAAGGTTTGCAAGGGCAACCCTAGAGGGGTAGGGGGCAGCAATAACATAGTGTGAATGGTGATTTTGGGCTAGGGGCGCATCTGGGTTGTGGGCTTGGGTGACAATTCCTAGTGGGGGTGGTTTAACTATATTGTAGGTTGGCAATACCCGATCTTGGTATGACGACATGGTCTATAAGTTGTTGTTGCCATGTGCATCTTGGGTTATTAGGTGTAGTGGTCGTGCGATGTTGTATCTTGAGGGTGTGTATTGGTATGCCGGGCATCAACTTTGGAACTGGTGGGCGGACTGTCGTCGTGTTGTATCTACAATGATATTCTCCTCGACATTGGATGCTAGAGTGTCACACATCGCAATTAGCACATAGTCAGGTGGTGCAAAGGCTTTCTTAAATTTGCTCCTCCCACAACAATCACTTTTCTTATGTCATGTAGTGGCGAGACCTTATCAAGTTCATCGGAGTTGGTTCCTCACTAGTGCGTGCATGCATTTCCATCGGGTTCTAGCGAGCTATCCTTAACGGGCTCCCTAGACCACTCCAATTGTCAATTCCAGTCAGTACAATCAAAATTTGCCCTCCAACGGGCTCCCAAAACTCGGCCCAAACCTCTAGATTGTTTGTCTAGAGTCTCACAAAGCAAGCCTAAACTTGGGGTGAAATGGGGATGTCTAGACCATTCGTCATGTCAGCCTGAACATGCGGGCCCCACCCAAACAACCCACTTCCCCCACTAATCTTTAGACCAACTACTCCGCCACCCAAGCCCTACCGTGTCCACCTGATGCAATTGTGGCGACAATGTTGCTGCTCTCTCGCCGCCGTCTATGGCCCGCAATAAGACACAAGGGAAGTAATGAGTGGGCTCGTCATGTGTCCGCTTAGCATGGTGGACGCCGACACACCGTTGATCTAGCATGTCCCATGCATTTTTGTGAGGCACGCTCCCCCTCCGTACTACCAACGCCACCACTTGCCATCACCGCCTCCATCCCACGACGCCTCGAGATCCCGCGGCATGCTCTCCCTCAACACTTCGATCTCCCTCGTTGCGTTACCTTCCCCTGTTGCCTCGCCGGGGGATCCGACGACGGCATGGATTGGAGTGCCATCTTGGACACATCACACGTCAACTCCCCTCACCCCTCCCCTCACCCACCCTGGTACTCAAACTAGTCAAGCTTCTTCCTCTCCTTCGCGATCGCGGCGTCCTCATCTTAACCTGGTGCTCCACCTAATCCAAGCGGTATCAAAACGAAAAGCCTCCAGCCGACCCTGCAAACACCATTTCTCCCTTTCAAAGTTGACACCGCGGGCAGCCACGCCGCCTACCTTTTGAAAATTCAGGCAATTTACGCATAGGAAACACACAAAAACAAAACTAAGCCGGTGGACTAAAAAAATGCATTAGGAGTACAGGACTTCAATTTTTACAGCCGACCATTTCGCTACCGTCCACAGACGGATCCAGGCGAACGGATGAGATTGGTGCCCCTGTTCCATCATCCGTTGTCCTTTTCCGCACGTACGAACGCACGCGTTCCGTGGCTCCTTGCTTACCGCTACACCGAGCCGCCGTACGGGCATCAGCATCCAATCCAAGTTATCCTTCACTGCCTGCCGCGAACCAAACTCAGAAAGAGACCCTTCTTGTCTCCGCCAAGAGCTGTCAGTTCGCCATTAGACTAAGCAGATCCCCGGTTTATTTCCGCTTTGACTTTCATAAAAAGGACGCCCAAATAATCCGCGCACAAATGCCAGAAACTTGACCACGTTACTACGCCAGAGAGGCCATCTTCAAATCGGGACGCCATTTTCCAGCGTTGCCACATTGATTCACATTCAATGGGGTTTTAATGGATTATTACGCCTATCATCTAATTCATCTCAGCAATTCGACCGCCATGACTTTCATGGACGGGAGAGAATGACGTTTTCCTTTTGAAGAAGGCATCACCAGATCACACGAAAGAAGCAGACGAGGAAGTGGCAGGTGAATTCCATCGTGGAAAAGCAAGACCCGCCTTTGGCAGCGATAGCCACAGCCAGAGATCGATCCCACTACTCATACAAGAACCTAAAAAGAGCGACCGCAGATCAACTTGCGCCCGATACGGCTGCACACCACCTGACACCCGCCCCCGCGATTCCGGCCAATCGTCAGTGCTCGCTGACCTCCGCGGCCATAAGTAGAAGCCTCGCTCTCTTGATTCTCGGAAGGGATCAAAGGGGTTGGTAGAGGAGTATAATTGCGCAGGCAGTCGTCTCCTCTCGTTGGCCTGCTCGCTTCTTCCAAATGGTCACTTTTCCTGTCCTAGCGGCTTAGCGTGCGCCATGCGCCTCAGGTTTTTTAATGGTGGTTTCGGGCTGCTTTTCTACCGCGTGGTGAGGGGCGGCGAGCCGGGCCGGGACACGAGTTGGTAGTTGTTCACTTGTTCTTGCGAGCGAGAAGCTACAAGAAGGGAGCGTGCGTGGCTTGCTTCCGCTGCTCTGCGCTACAAAGTCCACACCGAGAGATCCTGCCAAAACAGAATTTGCCTGCTGCTGCTGCTGCTGCCGAAATCTTGTCTTCTCCGCTCCCGATTCGAGGTCCGTGCTGCTGCGGGAGTGGCGCGCGCGCGCATGGGCGCGGCGAAGGTGGCAACTTGCACGCCTGGCGGTTGGAAGTTGGGCAGCGTGACGCGCGCGTGAGCCAGCGACCGGGAGAGGCAGAGCAATGGACGCGGAGAGCGGCGGCGGTGCGGCGAGGGCGGCGCGCAGGAAGGTGAGTAGGGCAGGGCCCCGCCGGTTTCTTGGATTCGTTTGGAAGATTCGGTGTTTGTTTGGTCTGGTTTCGGGTCGGGGGCACCACGGTGACGGCGGTTTCTTTGGTTTCTTTCATGACGGCGGCTGCAGCCGTGGAGCGCGGAGCTGCTGCTGGCGTACCAGAGCCTCGGGGTGGTGTACGGCGACGTGGCGACGTCGCCGCTGTACGTGTTCAAGAGCGCCTTCGCCGGCGGGGACATCGAGCATTCCGCGGGGAACGAGGAGATCTACGGCGTGCTATCCCTCGTCTTCTGGACGTTGACCCTGATCCCGCTCCTCAAGTACGTCTTCTTCGTGCTCCGCGCCGACGACCACGGCGAGGGCGGCACCTTCGCGCTCTACTCCCTCATATGCCGCCGCGTCCGCGCGGGGCTCCTCCCCGACGGCGACGAGCTCGCGGCCCGGCGCGAGGGCGCATCGCCGCCCGCGCCCCTCTCGGCCGTGCGCGCCGCGCTGGAGCGGCACAGGGTCCTGCAGAGGATGCTGCTGCTGCTCGCTCTGCTCGGGACGTGCATGGTCATCGGCGACGGCGTGCTCACCCCTGCCGTCTCTGGTCGCTCCCTCCTCCCTCCTCCTCCTTCCTCAGAGATTCAGTTACGCTCTTGGTGTTGCATTGGCTGATGCTATGTCAGAGCCTGACGCCTTCTTGTTCCTCTCTGTTGCAGTGTTCTCGGCGGTTTCCGGGCTGGAGCTGGAGCTGGACAATGAGCAGCACGAATGTAAGCCAATTGCTTGCTCTGCTTTCGTTTATGATTGCTCAATACCGATTTGTGGGTGCTAACGTTTTTGGATTCAGACTGAATAAATTTTCCAGAAATTCATTTAATACTTGCTGTTTTCTGTTTTGATGTCTTCTTCTTCTGAATATTGTGTTGAGGGTTTGTGAGTAGTGACATGTTGGTTTTTTCAGATATATTGCTACCGGTGACATGCGCTATATTGGTGGGTTTATTCACCCTGCAACACTACGGCACACACCGGGTCGGCTTTCTTTTCGCACCCATCGTTTGCTTGTGGCTTCTCTGCATCAGCATCATAGGGCTCTACAACATCATTCACTGGAATCCACATGTGTACCGAGCTCTTTCACCATACTACGCGTACAAATTTCTCCAGAAGACTCAAACAGGTGGCTGGATGTCGCTGGGTGGGATCCTTCTATGCGTAACGGGTAAGGACCGAATAGCTGTTATGTGCCATTTGACTCCGCTACTTTAAATGGATGATGATGATAAGTTGACCACATGTATATCTGTTCGAACTATTAGGTTCTGAAGCTATGTATGCAGACCTTGGACATTTCTCTCAGTCTTCAATCAAGGTACGTGATGAGTGTGCGGATATTTGTTTTGCCACATGGCATGAATTACCATCCCTTTGCCTTAGAATTAGTGACTTTTAATTGTATGCTCGGAGCATGTGCATTAATGTCTACCATTTTTACAAAGATTACAAAAGCCACATTGTTGAAATAAGAGGCGCTGCGTGGTATAGTTAAGCGAATAATCAAAGTTCTTATATGATACAGTTCTGCAATATATGAAAACCAAATACTTATGTTAGGACTTGAACTTCAAAAAATGCAGATAATAAATAAGGGAATTGGATAACACTGTTCAAGCAAAAAGAATGTATTAACTGAATTTGAACTTCCATTTCATTGAAGGGGTCAATGAGTATAGCGGTAGTTGATTACGGGAATTTAGATGGGGCAGCTTGAGTTTAACTTTCTCAGACTATGTAACATGTGCTGATTTAGTTGCTGTGTTAATCGATGACAACGGATATTGCCCCGTTTTGTTATGAAGGAAGTACTCCCATGTACTCTGCCTAATCATTGTACAAGCAATATAGCTACTTTGCGGTGTTTATTAAGCTAGTAGCAGCCGTGCTGAGAGAAGTTGCTCACTTGACTAAGCTCTGCTTTGTGTCAATTGTACTTGAGGGGGGCAATGAAACTTAGAGCCAACACAATATAATGATTGATTACTTAATGTCATTGAGTAAACTATTTGATGATGTTCACTTTTAACTACACTTAGGAATAGTAATATCAAAATGTCTATTGTTTTCCATCCTTTAAGCCCCAATTCTCTATGTTAACACAGATGCTCTGGTAATACCTATATCAATAGCATTTTGTAGGATGTCTCAATTTGGAATGCTTCAAAAGCCACATGATAAATAAAAAACTAGTTCTTAGGAATTAATATGCGCTACCATCATCCTTCCTCTGGTGACCTTCACCATAAGTACTTTTTTGTGTGGAGTCCAGAATCCCTTACCCCTATGCTTTACTTCCAACAGATAGCTTTCACATCTTTAGTGTACCCAGCTCTGATATTGGCATATATGGGACAAGCTGCTTACATTTCAAGGCATCACAATTTTGAGAATATTAATCATATTGGATTTTACGTATCAGTCCCAGGTACTATTTATGTTTTCATTTTCACCCTCATTGGTAAACACTGAAGTGAGTATAACTGTATAACAAGTACCCCCTTTTAATATCTACTTATGTAATAATCTCTTTCTAGAAAAAATCAGATGGCCTGTTCTGGTGATTGCAATTCTCGCAGCCGTTATTGGGAGTCAAGCAGTTATTACTGGCACATTCTCAATTATCAAACAGTGTTGTTCCTTAAGTTGCTTCCCAAAGGTGAAGATTGTGCATACATCCTCTACAGTACATGGTCAGATATACATACCAGAGATCAATTGGATCTTGATGATACTATGCCTGGCTGTTACTATAGGCTTCAGAGATACAAAGCACTTGACAAATGCACAAGGTAAAGAGCACAGTTAGATATGTATATAATTTCAGTTCAGGAGAATACAACATATTTTCTTGTCACCGTAAACTTCTGTTTATCTTAATTTTTTTGTATATAAACTTACGGTCAACTTTAGGTGCCTAACTTATGTGCTTTTCTTGGTACAGGTCTGGCGATCATAACTGTAATGCTGGTCACTACTTGTTTGATGTCACTGGTTATTGTTCTTTGCTGGAACAAGAGCATAGTGTTTTCTCTCGTGTTCCTTCTATTCTTTGGTGCAATTGAGGTTCTTTACTTCTCAGCATCCCTTGTGAAATTTCGCGAAGGGGCTTGGGTACCCATTATGCTCTCGTTATTTTTCATGATAATTATGTGCGTGTGGCATTATGGTACCATAAAGAAGTATGAGTTTGATGTCGAAAACAAGGTCTCTATAAGTTGGCTCTTGAATCTCGGCCCTTCCTTGGGGATTGTTCGCGTCCGAGGGATTGGTCTGATACATACAGAGCTTATGTCTGGGATTCCAGCCATTTTCTCTCACTTTGTCACCAATCTACCTGCATTTCACCAGGTACCTTCATCAACTTCTACATTTTTGTTTTCAGAATACACACCAATCTCTATTCTTTATGCCTTCCCCAATACACTCTGCTAAATGATTATATCTTTCACCAGGTTCTGGTCTTTCTATGCATTAAATCAGTGCCTATACCACACATCCGACCTGAGGAGCGATTTTGGGTCGGCCGCGTCGGCCCAAAACAGTACCGTCTATACAGGGTGGTTGTCCGATACGGATACCGCGACGTGCCGAAGGACGACATAGAGTTTGAGAAGGACCTAGTGTGCAGCATTGCAGAGTTCATCCGCTGCGGCGACTCCGACGACCAAAACGGCTTACTGGACGGTGCCACAGACCATACCTCTGAGAGGCTGTCTTCCATCACTAAAGGCCTACCGTTTCAGGAGGACGATGACAGTGAGATCAATGGATCGGACACGTCGATACTGTCCACGGGCAAGGAGACGTACCAGAACGCGGTAGGACCGAAGGCAAAGAGGGTGAGGTTCGCGCTCCCGAAGGACGCGCAGATCGACAGCGAGGTCCGCAGCGAGCTGCAGGAGCTGACAGATGCTAGAGAGGCAGGCATGTCCTTCATCACGGGGCGCGCGCACATGAAGGCGAAAAGCGGGTCTGGCCTGGTGAAGAAGATCGCGATAAACTGCATCTACGAGTTCCTGAGAAGGAACAGCCGAGGTTCTGCCACGGCAGCTAACATACCTCATGCCTCGACCCTCGAGGTAGGGATGGTGTGCCAGGTCTGATACGATACGAAGTCACCGCCACGCTCTGTTGTTCATATGTCGTGTGTGTGTGTTGTGTATATATATATATTTGTATATCCTAACGAAAGAGGTAGAGAGGATTGTTGAAGCAGGAAACCGTTGGCCAGAAGTGCAGATCAGAAGTGTGCATAGTTTTCTCTACGGTCTATTCTATTGTGTTGATCTTTGTTTTGGCATTTTTATCCGTTGCTGTCATTATCGTCGTCGATTTTGTATATTGGTCGTTGAGCTGTAGGTAATATAGCATTTTTGTGCATGACTTTGGTGTTTAGGTTGTTTTAGAACCTCAATAAGTTATACCCTGAAACTGTTTGCCCTGCAGAAACTTAGAGGGGGCCGAGAAATGATACTTGTCACACGCAAACATTTGCCAGAACTGGTGGTATTGGTAAGGCTCGATAAAGTTTGATAATTTGGCTAAGCACTGCAGATGATCTGTAGATCAATTCCATTTTGCAATTTTTGTAAGCAGGGAGTACTTTCTCAATTTTTCGGGTTGAAATATAATCTTGAGCAATAATTTGCTCTACATAACGGGGTGCCACCTTATTTCTGCTCACTTGTCTTGTGGCCATATGCAAAGGATCAAACGGTAATATTTTTAAGGGAAATATTCCGAGTCTCAAGAAATATCAGTATGAGTAGAATGTACCCGGGTTTCCTAACCTGGCAGGTTGGTTCACTTTAGCCCATAAACTCTCAAACGGTAAGATCAGCGTCTTTTACTCCAAGTGTGAATTAGGTAAGACTTTCACCAAAAGATCGTCGAATAACTTTTGGTCCATATGTGATTGCGTTTCAAAGATTCTGGTTGCTCACTTGAAAAGAGAGAGAGATTCTGGTTGCTTAGGGATGTTTATTTCTTCAGTAAACAGACGACGGTTGCAAAGGCTTTCTCAAAATGTCGCTATATAAAGAAGTTGCGCTATGAACTGAATTGATAGATCAACGCGTCTACTATAGAGCTGCTTCATTGATGGAGGGGACGCTCCGAACGTATATGAATGTTCATGTGCTCTCTGTGGCCAACATTGAATTACATATAAGCATCCAACCACTTTGTAGTTGCACCACATGATATCAAGTGGTCCTATTTAAGCGTGAGAACACATGGAACATGATCATAATTCACAAGGAAGAAATCTTGGGTACCCAAGCCAAGCAAGGAATAGAGCTTACCCATTGCTATGTATCATCATGACATGAGGCCAAAACCCACACATAACTAAGACTTGGAAGCATCAGGATATGCGATTGTGCTGGATTGGATGCAATCAGGACATCGGACATGCCCCCCACCGTCTACGCCTTATGCTTAGTAATTTTGGACTCTCATGACTTTGCTTCTTGCTGTGGTGTGTGTGCGCATTCAAATTGGCATGTGTGCACTCTAGTAGTGCAGAGTTCGGGTATGTGCTTATTATGCCAAGTATCCCCTTAATGCTATGTTAATAACAATACCCTTTATCGGGAAAAAAAATCAAGCAGTAAGTCACATCACCATCATGAAAACCAACTTTAGATAACTTATGAAAATCCCAAGCCAATCCTAAGACCTCTGAGAGGGAGGTGTCACAGAATAGTAGCATGCATCCGTATGCAATGCCAACTAGTCATATGAATGATATGAGACAATATACAATGAAGAGATGGTATTAGTATCATACCATGGTACCGTATCATAACAAATGAGATACTAAGTATAAGTCAACCAAGTAGTAAATAAGTTATTCTTTGATACCAACTTATGATACTATGCATTGTGGAGTTAGTATGATAGACTAGTATCATATGCGTGATACTAACTTAGGATACTATCCAATTATTACTCTCGATCGTGCACTTTCATGTAGTCACCCCTATCCTCCCATCAATGCCTCTCACCCGATTTTTTTGCATGCATGCACACTTCTAGAGTTGCTCGATTTGGGTGCCTCGTATGACCCCGCTCCCTGCTTGTTTGGCCCTTTTCCCTCACCCAAGACTGGCCTCTCCGAGCCATTCTCCCTACTGCTAACGCCGACAGCAAAGCCAATAGAAATTGCACTGCAATCGATGTATCCACAGCCGACGATGCGAGATGTTCAATGCGACATCAATGTTTCCCCCATCTTCCTTTTCAATTGTCTCTTAGGCAAGCGTGTGTGACTATTTTTCTCCCGACGTTGATGCCACAAGAGTCCCGTCGAGGGTTCAGTGCATATCTGGAGGCACATGAGGTGGCCCCATCGGCATGTGAGCAGGCAACAATGTGAGGTAACTGGGGGTAGTGATTCTAGAGGCACCAATAGTGGCACCTGTGGCGGGAGCCCGGACTGAGGAGGCAAATAATACAGGCAAGGATTGATACGTCTCCAACGTATCTACTTTTCCAAACACTTTTGCCCTTGTTTTGGACTCTAACTTGCATGATTTGAATGAAACTAACCCGGACTGATGCTGTTTTCAGCAGAACTGCCATGGTGTTGTTTATTGTACAGAAAACAAAAGTTCTCGGAATGACCTGAAAATCCACGGAGATAACTTTTGGAAAATATAAAAAATACTGGTGAAAGAATCAAGGCCAGAGGGGCCACACCCTGTCCACGAGGGTAGGGGGCGTGCCCCCTGTCTCGTGGGCCCCCTGATGCTCCACCGGCCTCAATTCCAACTCTATATATTCCGTTTCGCGGAGAAAAAAATCAGAGAGAAAGTTTCATCATGTTTTACGATACAGAGCCGCCGCCAAGCCCGAATCTCTCTCTGGAGGGCTGATCTGGAGTCCGTTCGGGGCTCCGGAGAGGGGGATTCGTCACCGTCGTCATCATCAACCATCCTCCATCACCAATTTCATGATGCTCACCGCCGTGCATGAGTAATTCCATAGTAGGCTTGCTGGACGGTGATGGGTTGGATGAGATTTACCATGTAATCAAGTTAGTTTTGTTAGGGTTTGATCCCTAGTATCCACTATGTTCTGAGATTAATGTTGATATGACTTTGCTATGCTTTATGCTTGTCATTAGGGCCCGAGTGTCATGATTTCAGATCTGAACCTATTATGTTTTTATGAATATATGTGAGTTTTTGATCCTATCTTGCAAGTCTATAGTCACATATTATGTTATGATCCGACAACCCCGAAGTGACAATAATCGGGATACTTCTCGATGATGGCCGTAGTTTGAGGAGGTCATGTATTCACTATGTGTTAATGCTTTGGTCCGGTACTCTATTAAAAGGAGGCCTTAATATCCCTTAGTTTCCATTAGGACCCCGCTGCCACGGGAGGGTAGGACAAAAGATGACATGCAAGTTCTTTTCCATAAGCACGTATGACTATATACGGAATACATGCCTACATTACATTGATGAACTGGAGCTAGTTCTGTATCACCCCATGTTATAGCTATTACATGAGGAATCGCATCCGACATAATTATCCATCACTGATCCAATGCCTACGAGCTTTTCACATATTGTGCTTCGCTTATTTACTTTTCTGTTACTACTGTTATAATTACTACAAAACTGCTGTCGTTACTTTTGCTACTATTACCATTACTATCATACTACTTTGCTACTAAATACTTTGTTGCAGATACTAAGTTATCCAGGTGTGGTTGAATTGACAACTCAACTGCTAATACTTGAGAATATTCTTTGGCTCCCCTTGTGTCGAATCAATAAATTTGGGTTGAATACTCTACCCTCGAAAGCTGTTGCGATCCCCTATACTTGTGGGTTATCAAGACTAATTTCTGGCGCCGTTGCTGGGGAGCATAGCTCTATTCTTTGAGTCACTTGGGATTTATATCTGTTGATCACTATGAGGAATTTGAAAGACGAAAGAACTAAGATTTTTCCCTCAACTACGAGGGGAGGTAAGGAATTGCCATCTAGCTCTACACTAGATTCTCCTTCTGTTATGAGTAAGCTTGCGACACCTAAACCTGCTACTGCTATGAATTATGATATGTTGCATGTTATTGATGATGCCACTTCTGCTATGCATGATACTTATGATGAAACTACTTCTATGCTTGATACTATTGTGCCATTAGGTGAATATCTTGATGAACAACTTGCTAGGGTTAGAGAGAATAAAATTATTGAAAACAAAATTATTGATGATAGTGATGATGAAGGTTCTCCCCCTAATTATGAATTGCCTGTTGTTCCTGAGGGTTATGTTATGGATGAAGAAGCTGCTAGAGCTATTTTTGCTTGCAATGATAGATATGATCTTAAGAAGTTATTAGCTAAATGGAAGCGGCAATCTCTTAATGCTAGAATGAAACATGACCCCGCTTTTGCTACTTCACCTATCTGTGTTACTGATAAGGATTATGAATTCTCTGTTGATCCTGAGATAATTACTTTAGTTGAATCTGATCCTTTTTATGGCTATGAATCTGAAACTGTTGTGGCACATCTTACCAAGTTAAATGATAGAGCCACCCTGTTTACTAATGATGAGAAGTCTCGCTATTATTATATCCTTAAGATATTTCCATTCTCATTAAAGGGTGGTGCTAAAACTTGGTTTAGTTCTCTTGATCTTGGTTGTGTGCGTAGTCCCCAGGATATGATTTATTACTTCTCTGCTAAATATTTCCCTGCTCATAAGAAACAAGCTGCCTTGCGGGAAATATATAATTTTGTGCAAATCGAAGAAGAGAGTCTCCCACAAGCTTGGGGGAGGCTTCTCCGATTACTTAATGCTTTGCCTGATCATCCTCTTAAGAAAAATGAAATACTTAATATCTTTTATAATGGACTAACCGATGCTTCCAAGGACTACTTGGATAGTTGTGCTGGTTGTGTTTTCAGGAAAATAACAGTCGACCAAGCTGAATTACTATTGAATAATATGTTGACTAATGAAAATAATTGGACTCTTCCTGAGCCAATTCCTGAGGCAATTCCTGAGCCAATTGAGCCAACTCCTGAGCCTATTCCTAAACCAACTCCGAAGAAGTGGGGAGTTCTATTTCTCA